AACGATTTCGGATAATACAAAGTTACGCGATGAAACTAGTTAGTTAAAATTTTATAATTTTTGTTGATGCAATTTAGTTCGAAAACAATGTTAAGAAATTTCTCTTTCCAATTCGCTCCTATCAACGGTAACGTAGTATAAGCGACGTTCAGTGGAATGTACGCAACACGGTCAGATAAGATACCTAATTTCGAAGCTGACCCAATTATCCTCGCGTTTGCATATTCTGCATTAAAATTCTAATTTCAGGCGGAAGTTTGACGCATGAAAGGGATCAAGCAGCGACAGAGTATCTATATTTTCTTAACGCTATAAAAATTTGGAGAACGGTGCTTCAATTTTCCAGAAAAGTCAACACCAGGAAAGCGAGTTCCACGAGCAGGTCACAGTAATATCAGCACGTGACTGCGAATATAATTTCCCACCGTCATCGGCAAAAACATCGTCGCGCCGCGTCACGTTCGCCAGTATGAGATATTGCTGATCACTTCGCGATTCAGCTATCGGGGGGGAGAGTTCGTTGCAATTTCCCGTGCGTCGGCCTCTTGTTCTCCGTCTTGGGCAACGGCGTATCATGACGGACGAACGGGGCTGGCCAGCACCATTTTTCTTCGACGCGAAATTACTCCTGGATCCTTAGCAAACGTCGAGTCATTGTTATCGCGCGGTTGCTTTTTCAACGAGAACCGTGGAAAATCGGAGCGCAGAGTAAGAACGCGATCTTCGATTCCGCCCAGTCTCTTGACCTCTCGTTGCCCCGCGAAACAAAGCAAACAAGACGCTGAATCGAATTCCGGCCGGACCCGTACAACACGGTGTCGCGAGCGGACGGAGAAATCGGTTCACGAGGAACGATCGATTAATTTTTCGGAATCGGTCAAATTAAGCGAGCGTTTAATTGATGAGCGGCGCGAATGATTCATCGGTGCCGCCTTCGAGAGACGAATACGTCGTGTCAATCCATTTTGTAAATTAGTTCTGCCGACCGGATGGAAGTTTAATTGACATCCCTCTCGGGTGACCGATCGCGTTTATTAGCGAACCGGACTCGTCGGGCCAAAATAACGGGAATAATTTCGAACGATAAAATCGTACTCGAGCCGCGGGGGTCGATCGAACGACTTTTCTAGCCCGAGAACGAACGCGGAAAATGTAAATACTCGGAAGTGGGTTACGCGTTTCAGAGCAAATATTTCGTGTGGAGCTTTGTACGTACCTATCGGTCTCGAGGAACGCCGTGCACATCCTTCAGATCACAAATCTTCATCCTTCGTGAACGCAGAATTTCTGCGTCGAGCGAAACGTAACTGCAATTGTTTCACCTCCGGAAGAATTTTGTCTTCTTTGTTCGATCTTGAATCAACTTCTCGACAACCAGAACCAAATCACAAAACACAGCACAATCGTGAGGACAGATCGTGGCCGAGCTGAACGCCTCGTGTTACCGGCGATCACCGATCTACCGTTCCGTCCGATACGTCAGCGAAGGCGTCGCGGCGCTCACTGCGGAGACTTTGCTGCGTACCCGCCCTTATAGCATCGTGTTGCGCTCGCACACCATCCCCTCCCCTCGTTCCCCTTCCGCGGTCGCTTCTCGCGCTCCCCCCTCTTTTGACCCCCTGCGCCGTACCGCGAGAATCTACCAACCCCTCTGCGTCCCTCTTCTTTCCTACCCCCCTCGTCCTCGCCAACGACACTACCACGCACCTCACTGGGATAACGCGACCGTTCGAAAGTCCAACCTATGCGTTCGACACCTTGAAGATCCATATAATTATAAAAAATATGGAAAGAATATTATGAAGAATCCAATAATTGTATTTAACAAAAAGTTTTCTTATAGTTTTAATGATCGTATTTAGGAAGAAGAGATTTGTTTTATATTGTATTTACACCCCCCCAATTGCAAAATAAAAGTGACAGTAGAATATATCCCCTTTGAAACCTAACAAGAATTAAGGTGTATTCTTGTCTAGAATTAAAGAAAAATTGCAAAAAAAATATTCGTAATATTTACAAAGAAACAAGAATGTTATGAAGAAACCAGTAATTGTATTTAACGAAAAATGTTTTCTCTCCTATAGTGTTAACGATCGTATTTAAAAAGAAGAAATTTACTTTTATATTGTATTTACATCTCCAGTTGCAAAATAAAAGTGACATCAGAATATATCCCCTTTGAAACCTAACAAGAATTAAGGGAGTATTCTTGTCCAGAATTTAAAAGAAATCGATTTTGTTTTACTGCACCTTCTTAAGGCATTATGGAGAAGAAATTAACTTTCATATTGTCTTTATACCCTCAGTTAAAAAATAAAACTGACAGCAGAATATGTTCCCTTTGAAACCTAATAAAAACTAATATGATTGTTTTTCTTTTTCTGCACACAGTATGAGGTTTAAAACTTCTATATCTAAACAGATAATTTGTTGAAGTTACCTAATTGTAAAATGTTTTATTTATCTAAAAAAATGCTGCGCCAATGATTGGTAAAATATTTGCAAAAATTACCTGTAGCAAGTTTGAAAACTTTCTTATAAACCAACTCTCCACACTACCTGTGGGGACCCATTCAATTATAGAGAATATTTCTTTCAGAAAGAATACTACAAAGAATCTGATATTGTATTAAGAAATGTTTTCCCTACTATAGTTTGAATAATTGTATTTAAAAAGAAAAAATGGACACGTTCATTAGTAAAATAAAACTGACCACCGAATGCATCTCTTTTGAAACCAAACAAAAATTAAAGAGATCATTTTTCGAAACCTATTTGTAAAATGTTTTATTTTTATAAGTTGTGCCAATGATTCCCAGAACATTTGTAGAAAACAAAGCACCCGTGTCAAGTTTCAAAACTTTCTTATTCGCGGAAATTCGGACTGCGTTGACTAGGTTACGAGCGTGCTCAAAAATAGTTGAAAGCTATTTTTATCAGGAGCATTCAGGGGCTGAACACAGAGCGAGAAAACGCCCGAAGTTGCTGAACTTATGGCAACTTGCATCGCGCGAAAACCTGGCACCTTGGCGCTCCCGCTGCAGGATTTATGCGTGGAACGTATTGGTGAACGGTAACGAGGTGGAGATTTCGATGTTAGCGAGACGGAATAATTTCAAACTACGAGGAACATTTATATACTATTCATAGACAATCGCTCGTTGTTTGTACACCAACATTTATTTTGTTCCGACTATTCGCGGAAATTTAATTAGGCGCGCGTAATTATTCCCGAACTCCGTCGCTATACCAACCCGACGTGTACACCCTAATGCATAACAACGAATCGTAAGAGTGACGTCGTTGCCAAGCGGGTTTAAAATAACGTTCTAACTTATTTTAAAATAATTCTAAAATAATATTAAAAAATATTAGAATTTACCTTATCCAAACTCTTGCATACCATTGACTCAAGAGTCAGAGGATTAAAAATGGCACCTAACAACCGTATCATAAACCCAAGTTCCAGCACTGATTGTTAGGGTTGTTTTCGTCTACGTAGCTCGCAAAAAATCCTCGTCGACGAGCAACCCTAGATCGAACGACGAATCGAATTCTTTTTACGCAAAAGTTCTCCAAGTTCTCGGGATCGTCCCTGAGGAGGGTCGACACGCACTACGCTACGTCTGTCACGTATCCTGGGGGTGTATAACAGTGCGTACACGTCTCTCTGACGCAGACGTATGTCGGACTGTCGGCAACGGGAACCCCAAATCATTAATTTATCCATCGCCGGTGGCTGCTTCGGGGCAAACGGGTCGTGACATCCAGACTCATCAAGCTGTAGGAGGAAAGCCCAAGGGTCGTGGCTTGAGAAAACATTCCCTTCGAGAGTCCCGACCCCGGTGTTCTTCCCATCCTTGTTTCAAACATCCACCAGAGGTTCCACGAGTTCCTTCTTCGGCCCTAGCGTCAAAAGAAACGTCAGAAAGGGGAACGAGCATCGTTTAAAAAGCGACGCGGTTGTTACGAGATACCCGAGTGTTCCACTGACCCTCTCGGCCTCCTTTTTTCAGCACGTGACGGTACAATTCCGCGAAAAATCGTCGAGGTACAACATTCACAGATTTCTCGTACGGAAGAATGTTATTTAAAAATGTATTTTTACACGAAAAATTAATCTCTGCTAGGTTTTATGTGTTTGCGACCACCCTCTGTATTACACAACGTTAAAATTATTCATTTTTAAATATTATGTGCAGATAAATCACTGGAAGGAATCATTAAAAAAAGTTAAATGAGTTTGACGTTCATTATTAAAAATATATAGATGTTAAATATATGTATATTTCTCCTAAATATACAATGTTAATGTATAATACTATTGCATGAGATTTTCAATCGGAAATGCGGAATAAAGTTTGATGAACGACTTGTACGATTCCACTACCGCGTCTGACCATTATCCATTATTTCTACTTGTACTTGTATTATTATAATAACCGGTGGGCTTTGATATTCTAGCATGCGTTTTCTATCGATCTTACGATATCATTAGTTAATGACAGGCAGTGGAAACAGGCAACACTACCGCTAACGAGTGCAAACTCGAACACAAGTGGAATTAGCGATATATGGTCAGACACGCTACTCGAACAAGTCTGGCTCACCAGTACTTGCACCGACTGATGTCAAAATCAGAGAATTCCACAACCCCGTTGCATGTATCATATACAATCAAAATTATTAATAAAAAATATTGGAACTATAAACATTGCTCCTGAACGAAGCTCGTAAAATATGTTTTCACGAATCTTCCGATCAAGGGCCAATTTTTTCAGCTCCAAATGTATACGTTACCGTCAGAAATGGTTGAAAAGGTCGATCCAAGAATGACCAGCAGGACATTCGTTATCTGCTCGCCAGGTACGGAAGAAAAAGTTTAACAAGTCTAGTATCAAAGATCTCATTTATTCGACAACCATTCGCGAGCGTTGCGCCCGCGCGTGACACACGATCGCATTAGACCTCTGTATGGGGGAGAGGAGGGGGGAGGGGAGGGGGAGGTAGAAAGAAACGTAGAAAATTGCTCTTGTTCGTATACACAACTGGCACCCAAGCGGGCTCGTTAAATCTCGAGCCGCGACGTCCGCGCCGTTATAAATGCTTCCGCGATACACGGAGGAGGCTGAAATATTTACCGAACGCGCGACTTCCAGACTCTATTCTCGGACAAATTTATTACGGCTAATATTCCGAACGCGCTTCTCCCCGGGGGTCGTAAAGCCGGTGCCACGTAGAAAGGAAAAAAATACGTATGATGAATTATTGTCTCAACGCACGCATAATATTCGTGTCTGCACGAATGCACCCGCGAGCCGTTTACGCGAACCGAGTCGCGAAGCACAAGAATTTACGATCCACGTTCACGATCGAGCGAGCACAAGAGCCCCACGAATGGTAAAATTCCATAAACTGTTTTCGTACGCGACCAAAACCTCCCCGGAATCGCGTATCAACGCGTACCGCCCGACGGTTTACCAAAAAATACACCGACGCGACTACATACGCTGTCCCGAGACGTTTCGACTAGCGCTACTTAGTTTAACGATTATTTCAAAAAACCATAGAAAACTTTAGCCTCAACAAGGACGAAATGTAGATAAACGGAGCGACCGTTGGAACGGTTTGTATCAAATTGAGTAAAATGCGTATACAATGGCAAATGTTACGCTTGGATGCTTTAGGAGCTTGTGTGGGACCATCGCCTGCGCGCGTATGTAAAACATAGGAAACGTTTCTGGAACGAAATCGTAAGCGCTGATTAATACGACTCGATAATGCGATGGTACGTTTCTCCGATCGTACGCGTTATTAAGCGTGAATAAAAAAACAGAGGCGCGTAATACTTGAGGCACTTGCGCGTTATTTCAGTTCTTTCTTTATACATTGTTCGTTTTCCGTTCGTTTTTGGAACAAAAATCGGCCAATTCGCGCGACGAAGTAGAAAATATTGTTTTACGATAGACTACGCATACATCGTTGAAAAAATACGATAGATCGTCGTGTATGAACGCCCGTTCGAAAAGTATTATTTTCTTCTCTTCTTCGCGACCGGTTGTTTCGTTTTACACCGTCGAGTAATCCTCCACCAGTATCTGGCCGAAGTGAGTTATCACGTAATCGTGGTAATACATCATTATGCAAAGTGGCTGTCCGATAATGAGACTCGCCCACACCACGATATTGCCCCATCTGGCGCCCCAATTCCGCTCCACCTTCTTACTTAGCATCGATAATGGCATCTGGAAAATCAGTTAAAAAGTTTCTGCCTCGTGATGCACCCAGCGGAAATTAATATCGATACGTCGTCGGCCGGTCCGGTCCGGAAAATTAAATAAATATCGCCGGTAATTAAAGCGACATTTTTATCTACGTATCGCTTTTAGTTTCTGAGAATAATAGACTCGAAGATTCGGTGATTTTTGCATTGCGTTACTATCTCACTCGATACGATTGATTTAAAATAATTAAATTATTTCATTGCAATACGAATAATCAAGTAGTAGATTCAATTTGCAAATTACGAGAATATTAAGACAATGAGGTATTCATTTAAATCATTCTCGTGTTTACATTTCGCGTTTTAGTATTCTCTTTAGAATCTTTGAAGGCTCTTCGGCTGATATATCGGCTAATTGTTAATCTGAGATATTTTACTCGGTAATGTATATTAATATTTCATCCGCTTCGCCTTATAATGTTTCTGTTATTCTGGAAACAATCAATTGGGAGAAAATTTCTCTATAAACTGCCAAATATAGCCTTTACTTCGGAGCGTTCGCCCGAATAAAATTATTCACGAATATTGGAAAAATAGGAAGATAGTACGGCCAACGTCTGTATAAAAATAAAGACTGTCTACCTGTCCCATCATTCCCATGAAGGCCCAAGTCTTGAAAGTCTTCAGTGGCACGCTGACCAGGTACTCGTGGAAGAAGGCGCTGATGAAGAACACGGAAAGAGAAGCTGTCGATTTTGGGTAGCCCATCTCAATAACAGGAATGTAGAGATGCCTGCAATTCATCGAATAAAACAATTCATTCAACAAAGAAAATTAAAATTCAAGAAATTATATTTTATATTCATATTATATTTGTTCAACGTGTTGATTGTCGGGCCAAAACATTGATTACAAATGTAAACTACGTATCTTAGGATTTATCTTAGTACTTACTTTCGTATCCTCGCTAAAATTCCTTACTGCTATTCAAATTTATTTCCTTTAACATTCAGGTTTAAATATTCTCGAATGTTTACATTTCGTAACACCGTCGAATGAACTCATAAACAAACATTAAGTAAGAGGGCATTGGATCGGAGACAGAAATTGGATTCATATTTATTCTTACTTTACTTGCGTATTTTTCCGTTCGACTGATTATGAACAACTGAGTGCTAAGATGTAGAATAGCATATTGTAATCATATGAAACTGCTGGATGCAAATATATTGCTATCCCATGTAAACACTGTTTTTACGAACTGGTGCAAAACCGAGACAATCTATTCTTTTTTTCATTGCCAAACAAAAAGACATTAGTTACTGAAAACGTTTCTTATGTTACCTTTGACTGTGATAAAGATAACTATAATGTTTGTTTTTTAATATTCTTTTATATTCTTGGTAATAAATAATGATCTATAAAAAACTTGTGATTATTGGTTCAGTTATCCTGCTTACTGTAATTCTATATTTCCTTCCTGATCACATAGGACAATATGTTGCTTAGGAATTCCAAGACTTGGACACGTGAGTCTTAAATAAATTGTGGAATGTGGGACTCTGTTCGGCATAGATCGCGCGTCCACGAAGTCGGCGCTGATCAAGGCGTCTTGAACAGTCCAAGCCCGTTCGAGCCGTTTTAAGCCAAACAAGCCAATTCAAGCCAACCAAGCCGTTCAAGCGGTTTCGAGCCAAACAAGAACTGGCTTGCAAGCCAGCTTGAGCTGGCTCAAGCCTCTCCCGGCTTGACTTATTTTGAAAGCTTGCAAGCAAACCGGCTTGAATGCCATCTTCAGACTTACGCCCGGGGAGCATGTCGCCTATCTTACAGTTTCGATATTGTGACCCCAAAGTCAAGTATATGCATTTGCACGTCGATGAATGGGGCATTATCTTATTGAAATTTGAACACTGCGATACCACAATGTCGAATATAAGGGACCAAACGTGATCTCGATACTCCGTGACAGTATCGACGATTCGAATTGCGATTGGACGCTCGAAACTCCTACTATTATACCAACACCACCGAAACTACGTCTCGAACGAAAGTTCTTAACGCTAGATTTAGTTAGAAACCTTTCGTGTCGACGATTATATCAAAATACGATTTTTCTTTTGATCAGATTTTCGCATCGTTACATCGATCATATTCAACAGAAATAGCTAGCAAATAATATTTACGTATTTTGTAATCAAATTGACAGCTCTCGTAAACGTAGTATAGAAGTCTCCGGGTAATCTTAACCCCTTGACATACGATTTAATTTCAAGCAATTTTTCAAACGTTTACCATTATTATTTTGTTTAAATTTGTTCGTACAAAAAGTGGCCACGAGAAAGAACAGATTTGTTTCACGAATACCTCGTGAATATAAAAACATGTTGATTTTAATAGATAAGACTTGATGACGAGTAAGTAGCCTCATGATTGTGAAACATGTCGTCAAGAACTTGTAACGAGTCAGACTCGTTATTCTATGGCAAGAGGTTAAATAAACTGTAGCAAGACTGTAAATATAAATAAACTCGTGTCGAGTGGATGAACGCAGAATCTCGAGCCAAAAGAATCAAACTTTTATCGCGAGCAAGAGCGTTAAAAATCGTTAATTGCCTCGCTAAAGCGATTTGAAAAGCAGGAGTTCGCTCTTCGTGGGGTCGGGAGAGGATCCTCTCGTTTCCATTCAACGATCCCCCTTACGAGCCATCCTCCGGGACCGTTTCCCTGGCCATGCAGCCCATCGGTGTGTCGCGCCACAAAGCAGCGCGAGAACACGGAAAGGGTAGTGGCGCGAAGATAAGAGAGGCGGTCGCGACGCGTTTAAGGATCAGCGGGACGAGAAACGAAAAATTAAAGCAATGGCCGCGGAAGTTTCCACGGAATAGCGACACTTTGGTTGTCGGCTCGCAGCGGTAAGGGATCGTTAGCCGGCTGGTTATCAGCGGCGTCGCATTGGAAAGAAGAAAGGGTACAAAGAAATAAAAATGGCGCGAAGAATCGGGGCGAGAGACGGAACGAAGGGAATTCAAAGGTTCGGGGTATGTCGTCGTCGACAGTCCCTGAGAATTTCAGGCCACGCGTTTCCACCGTCGCGGAGGGTTTCCTTTCTCCGAAGGTCCGTCGAGGTTCCTCCTCGAAACCCTCTCTCTTCCTCCTCCTCGTCGCCATTTCGTCACCCCTTCAACGCCATCCTCGCGGAATAGACGCTTCGGAATATCTTCCAGTTATAGAGGCATTATAAGTGCCGCGGGGAATAAGCAGCCTTAAGTGCGCGCACCGCGATGCGTATCGGCTTTTCCCATTACAAACCTGAAAAGACGTCGTCTCTCGTCGACAGTCGACTACCTCCCCCCCTCCGTTTTCCCGTCGTCTGTGCCGTCTAAGTCCTCCTCCTCGTCATCGTCGTCGTCGTCGTCGTCTGTGCAGCTTTTCCATTTTCACCCAGCACATCCACCCCCTTCTCTCTCCTTCACCGCGCGGTCGCATGGCTGTGTGCCAGTTGCAGTCTGCAATTGCTGCTGCATAACTCGGCGGGGGTGGGACGGGAAAAAAGAAAACAACGGGCCTGGAGGCGCAGGTGGAGCCGGAAGCGAGCCACGGGCGAGATGCGCGTCTCTGCGTCTTCGCGGTTCGAAACCGATTACCGTTCGGGTTAATTATTCCGAAATTCGGTTAATTACGAGTCTGTTGCCACTTCACACGCTGCAGAGACGTTTTATATTGAAGAATGTTTAAAATGGATAGTGAAAATTCGTGTTTCACTTCGTGATAAATATTAATTTAGTAACGTAAGTAACAGATAGATATCAACCATTATGTTCGAAGGTATATCAAATTACAATGAATAATAGCAGCTTGTAGGAAAATATTGATTCGACTGCAAATCTAGTAACTAAATAACAGATAGATATCAACCATTATGTTCGAAGGTATATCAAAATACAATGAATAATAGCAGCTTTTAAGAAAATATTGTGTCGACTGCAAATCTAGTAACTAAATAACAGATAGATATCAACCATTATGTTCGAAGGCATATCAAATTACAATGAATAATAGCAGCTTTATTCATTAACTACTACTTTATTCACTAGCTACTAATTAAACATGCAACAAGAATTATTTGTATCCATTTCGAAAGACTAACAAGGAACCATCGCGAACGGTCCGGCTTCGATTTTGATGAAACTTTGTACACTTATAAAGCAGCCAAAAATAATCGACACGTATTTTTTTTTAGCTGCGGTAACTCGAGTTTAAGGGGTGAAACCACCCCTTGAAGTTTTGGCTCGAAACGGCTATCTCGAAAACGGAAAAAGATACAAAAAAATTGTTAATGGGCGAGGTTGATGGTTTCTTATGTACAATAACATGGTGTTAAAAAATTTTTTAAAATACAATTTGTTTATAACAAAAAAAAATTTATTAACTTAATTTTTCATTTTATTGAAATTTTCATAATGACAAAAAATGACGAGCATTTTATTCCAAATCCATTGATATGCGATTTTTTAAAATTGCCTCTTACAGTTTTGCAGATTTTGATGATTTACATCTTGCGCACACATTCATTATGGTAGTAGCCGTTCTAACTTTGATTTTAATGAAGCACTGTAGGCTTGCACTAAATTATGCAGTAATAAGTAGCGAGTAATAATAACAGTAACAAGTTTCTTAACAGCAACGAAAGGATTAATTATTTTTATTGCCCACCTATGACATCGTGGCAAAGGTGGAGCGATTTATAAATTATAAATATATGCAGTGTGTATAACAATTATTCTATATAGTTCCGACAATAGTGGTACTCGTCGAAAAAATGTTTGAAACATAAAGATTTCTTACACCATGCGCATGTAATTATTGCCACGTCACCGCAAATATGACATGTTGGCTCATTTTCAACAGAATAGCAGTACTCAACAGGATTCTGGAATGCATTTGGCTTTTCATCTATATATCCGGATTTATACCAGGAGTATTTAATAAAATTTTGGAACCTTGGCGATGAAAATTGATTGTGGGCCAAAGATTGAAGTTTAATTATATTATTCCTAGCGTGGAGATTAATGTCGTGATTTAAAACGAGAACTATATCGGAAAATCGGCGGACGAAATTTTTCCAAGTGCGGAAACCGTAAACATCCAGTGGTTGAACATACTTTGTTCCACCTTTTGGTATTATAAAAAGTTTTACATTTTTACCCTCGGGAGTAACTTCGTTCACCGTCTTCTTACAGTGACCACTCCAGGAATCAAGAATTAGAACTGTTGCGACCCCAGTATTTGCGAAGTAAATCTCTCTTAACCAGGTCTTGAAATGGTCCGTAGTTAATTTGCCTGACTTTGAAGCTACAAGATATACATTGTCAGGGCGAAATAAATGTTGTTCCACAATCGGCCCGAAATGTTCTGTACTCTCTTTCAGTACAATAAATAATGGTGACAGTAATTGTCCATCGGCTGAAATGGTTGGCTGGATGGTGTAACTATGAGTGGTGGATGACACTGATTGAACACCTCCTTCTACGATTTTTATACCTTCTTCAGCCAAAGTGCGCCCTGAATGTAATTCCAAATTAAAACCACTTTGATCGGAATTGTAAACATTGTGTGGTTCATTTCGGGCTATATATGATTTTACTTCATTCACGAATGCGCTGCATTGCAAATGAATATCGTCTTCTCGATTTACCATATTTGTGGTTACAAATCTGGTAATTTTTCTGGACACTAATCTAAACATCTTTTTAAAAGTATATAGCCAAGTATATCCGGCTTTAAATGTTT